CTCCAACTTACAAACCTCCTGCCTTTGCCTACGATTATAAGTATGGCCACCAGACCCAGCTCAGGAGTCAGTACCTTCTTCACCTTTGTCCCTCCTCTGTCAGCCTAGGTTCTATTCACCTTTGCAGCCGGGAAGTGTCTTGGAGGGGACTGTCGGCACTTTCTGTCTCTGCTCTTAACCTTTTGAGCTCTTCATGGAGGTCCACCCCATCTGCCCATCACATCTTGCTTTCTATCCTGGCCTATCTCAGCCTTCTTGCCTTCCATGGCCTCTCCCATCTCCACACTATGCTGCTGCCAGGAGTGTTTTAGATATAAAGATCTCTCTTATTGTCCTCCCTTGACTGCCCGCACATGGTGTTGTCTTCTTGGTATCTCTGTGCTCTGCTTTTCACCATGCCTCACTGGGTAGTAGAGCTTCCTTCATTTATTTGTTCCTTATCTGTCTTCTGCCAACAGTAGTAATGAAGCCTGGGCCTCAGTTCCAGCTCCTTTTCTGCTCTCAGCCTTGCAGCATTGGGACTTGCAGCCAACTGGCACTTCGTCAGCCTGTGTTGTGTATCAGAGAGATCTGGCCAGGCCAGAGGAAGTAGCAAGGCCTTGTGTACCTCCTGTCCTGCCTGTGAGCCTTCTGCTTGTTCTTTTCATACATGCTCCTTCCTGTCTAGCAGCTGAATCTGGCCTGCAGGGTTTCTAATGCTTAGAAACTCTTAATACTTGGATTCTACCTGACCTGAATTTCTCTCTGGCTCCCTCCCAGTGCAGACACCATTGGTGCCCCATCTAATGGAGACCTCATCTATATTCCCCTATTTTCATGATTTTATCCTCTCATCTTTGTAGAGTTGTGGTTGCCTCCTACAGTTGTATCTGCTTAGTTGTCTTAGGATTGTCCTTTCCCTCAGTTCATGATTTTATGCTTACTTGGCCAGACCTTATGTTGGTAAACTCTGGGTACGTGAGTAGCTTTGTGGGTCTGATACCTGCCCATCTCCGGCGCTCCAGGTCCCCAGTGAGGCTTAGCAGAGAGTGCTTTGGAACCACCTTCCTTTCATACAATGACCTGGGCCTTGAAACTTTGCTTGGTCTGTTTGGAGACCTGGGAACCAACCCTGTAGGGTGTGGGCCTGACTGTCCAGCCTGGTTGGTGGCTTTCATAGGTGCTGTCTCCACTGTTGTGGCAGAGTCATGGTCTGCAGTCTATGCTGCCTGGGAGTCTCCTATAGGAGTGTGTGTTCCTTTGGTTTAACTTACTGCCCTCTTCTCTAGATGAAATGTACTTTGCTATTAAGAGAGTAAGGTTCTTCTTCCTGCCCACCTGCCCTCTCCTCCTAGATATGATGCACTTTTTAAAAGCCAATGGTAGAAAGCTAAAAGTGACAGAAAGCTTAAAATAGGTAGTGTGATGGATAGCTCTAAACAAACTTCCCTTTGAATACCAGCACTCAAGAGGCTGAGGCAGGGGGGTCACAAGTTTGAGGCCAGCCTGGGCTATATAGCAAGGCTTTTTTTTTTTTTTTTTAAGAAAACAAACATTTCCTTGAATATAATCTGGGGGAAAAAGCCCTACCATTTTATTTGTTTTTATGTCACTGTTCTTTTTTTTTTAGCTTTATTGATTATATGCCTACTGTTAAAAATTGTACTTATTGATGTATATATTTTGATGGCTATGAGCATAGGTATATGCTATGATATCATGATGACAATTAATGTAGTAAGCATATCATCATCCTCTTGCATCCTCCTCCTTATGTCCTCTTGCTAAATTTACAATCTGTTTTGTTATTGTAGGTAAGGTGAGATCTGCCCTGCTAGGTTTCTAAGTGCCCAGCACTATTTGTCATGTGACCGTGCAAATCTCTAGAACTTATTCTCCTATAGTTTAGATCAGAGGTAGAGATAGGGACAGCCACTTTTTTTTTATACTGAGGATGGAACCTGTAGATGTGCTAGGCAAGTGCCACACTCCCAGCCTGAGGGTTTTCTTTATATATAACCTGGCAAGTGAGCTTTTCCAAGCTAGGTCCAGCACCACCCCCAGATGCTGCAATTGCTGTGTCTTCTAACATCCGAGTCTGGGTCGAGGACTTGGGTTGGAGGCACCTCTGTACCTATGTCCTTGTCTTCCTTAAGGGGTCTGGGCCCAGCTGCAGTGTGTAGCTTCATGAGTAGCTCAGCCCAAGGGCCAGAGTCTTGTACTCTGAACGATGCCAGCTATCGCATATCTGTGTAGTTTTACGTTTACTTTGGGCAGAGAAAGCTCTAGATAGATTTGAGGACATTGTGTTCCCAAGAGTAGGGCTTGCAGTTTGTTAGTTTCTCCCAAGTCCGCACTGACTCTCTTGTCACGAGGATACCTTGTCAGAGTGCCCCCTTACCCAGTCAGGCTTGTCTGTCATTCTGTTGTGCCCTGTCACCTGAAAGATGGCATTGTCCCATTCTTGCCTTAGTGTGCCTTGGCTTTTGAAGCAATAAGTGAATGCTGCCATTCTTCTAATTAAATTAGCCACTTTGGAGCAGTGATTTAAAACGTTTGTGAACTTCCCACCTGAATTCAATGATTCAAGAGTCGATTTCACAGTTCTTGATTATTAAATTGGTCTATGAATAGTTTTGAATTGAACTGGATCTCAAAATAGCCTCTTAATATGTCAGGTTTGCAAAGAGTATTTGCACTCATCTTATTTTATGTTTAGGTTGTAGAACACTTAGAGGGGCAGGTGGCCATTGGCTGATTCTTCATTTGGTTCAGGCATCCCTGCCAGGTTTTCTGAGATGGCCTCTGGTGTCCAGTATTTGTTCTTGCAGGCTTCTGCCCTGAGCTTAGGCAGGGTAGGCCAAATCATAGCTCCCTGCCATGCTTGGCTGGACCAGAGTCAGCATCAAGTCCCTTCTAAGGTTCCATAATTTTTTTTTAAATTTAATTTTATTGTCAAGGTGATGTACAGAGGAGTTACAGTTACATATGTAAGGTAATGAGTACATTTGTTGTTGAACTTGTTACACACACACACACACACACACACACACACACACACACACACACACGGTTGTACAGTTTATTTTCAACAGTAGTGCTGTAGCTCAAGTGATAGAGCACTTACCTTGAGCAAAAGAAGCTCAAGGACAAGTGCCCAGGCCCAGAGTTCAAGCCCCAGGACTGGGGAGGAAAAAGTAAAATTAAAAAATATGTATGTATGTGTGTGTGTGTGTGTGTGTGTGTGTGTGTGTGTGTATAAATTTTTGACTTACATTCACTTTCAAATTATTCTTAAGCTGTTAAAAGAAGTTTACTAAACTATAATTTAAACAAACCCGTTGCCCAGATGTGAAATAGGGGAAGTAGCACTGTAGCTCAAGTAGTAGAGCGCTTGCCTTGAGCTGAAGAGCTGAGGGACAGCGCCCAGGCCCAGAGTTCAAGCCCCACGACCGACAAAAAAAAGTCTCCCAGATGTGAAATAGGAAGAATTGGCAGTGGAGACCTTATATATCCTAACTATTATATATATGGTAGGCTTTAACTTGGGGCTTGGATGCTGTCCCTAAGATTTTTCACTCAAGAATGACACTCTACCACTTGAGCCACAGCTCCATTTCCAGCTTTTTTGGGGGATGGTGGTGGTGGTTAATTGGCTATAAGTATCTCAGACTTTCCTGCCTGGGCTGACTTGAAGCAGGAATCTTTAGATCTCTGCCCCTTGAGTAGCTAGGATTATATACATGGGCCACTGGAACTTAGCTTAGGTTTTCTTGAAAACAAATAGAATTACTTGGGTATCAAGAATGATCTAAGATTGCAAACATACTTCACAGCCCCATCTCAAGATTTTTTGTCCTCAAAGCTGCCTCATTCTCATTGTCCCTCATGTGAATCTTATATATTTCACCATGTAGCAGAGCCATAATACTGGAATTTCCTAGAGAAAGATCCCCTGCTGAACTAGTTCCCACCACCATTTTGTTGTGTGGGCTGTGTATTCCTGTCTGGGAGGGAGGGGCCCTGTCCTAAGTTCCCTGTTTATCTGAATGACTGCCCAGTTGTTCCTCCATCCCCTAGTGCTTGTGAGGGTAGGTAGATAGAGTTTAGGGACTTATAGGATCAGAGGGACACAATAGGATGCCAGATGATTTCTGCCTTCCATGTTTCTGTGTACTACCTTCTGGCAGGGGTTCTGAGCCAGCCTTTGTGGGACCTGCCTTTAGTGTGGGACTATGAGGAGCTGGTGGTGTTGAGAGAGGAGTGTGATGGCCTCATTATGAGATGCTTTGCTGTCTGAGAGCATGTTTGTGGTCAGCCTGTGAACGGTCTGCAATTTCAGGAATTCCTCTCCTCCTCCTAAGGAGAAGTGTTCAGCTTTTGATGGGGGCACTCATTGCCCCACCCCTTCTGTGTGAAGGGAGATGGACTAAGAGAGGGAGTCATAGGGAGGCTGTTGTTATTCAGGGGAACAAAAGTAGAAAGCAGTATTGAAGAAGGGAGAGGTCAACTGGCCACAGGGCAAATGTAGGAGGGCACATCCTGGCTGCGTGATGTCTGTCCCCTCCACAGTCCCAACACCCAGGGTATGCTGGCTCTTGCTCTACAAAGTCATCAGTATGGTTCCCCACCATGACTGCACTCAGCCTTCCTCCTGCATGCTGCACATCTGCGCCAACTGTGATTCACATGGGAAGTGCTTGCGCTGGCAATTTAGCTCATTCAGAAGTCCCGTCCCGGAGCTCTGCGTGGCTGACAATTTTTTCCATTGTATGTGGAGTCGAGCTTCCCTCCCCCGCTCACCGTGTTCTGGGATCACCCTGGGTGTCTATTTGAAATCCAGAAACTCCTGAAAGGCGTTAAGTAGCTATTCAGGAGCGAGGAAATGACAGCGTGGTGGTTGCACGTGCAGCTCTATTTTAGGACATCCCGGTGGGGCTTGCTGTTGGGGGTGCTTCCTGAGCCCTGGATGGATGGCCAAGCCAGACCTCATTGCTCTGCCCCCTTGCTTTCCTGTGTAGTGCCCGGCGACTGGAGAAGGCCCAGCAGCAGCTCCAAGATGAGGTACGACAGGTCAGCAGCCAGCTGCTAGAGGAGAGGAAGAAGCGTGAGTCCCATGAGGCGCTGGCCCGAAGGCTCCAGAAGCGTGTCCTGCTGCTCACCAAGGTACAGGTTACCTAAAGGGTAGCGAGCTTGCCCTGCTTTATCCATGCCTGTCCCTTTCTCCCTGGTCCATCATCTTCATGCAGACCTCAGCAGAGCTCATGCGTGTACCTGCCATCTGTGTCCCCCTCTCAGCCCCAGGGTCCTTGTGGATCCAGCATCTAGCACCCGTGGTGTTAGGCCTGAGGGATCAAGCACTCTACACATCCTTGCTGGCTTTCTGTGGGGTCAGAGCTCTTGACATCAAGTGGCAGGGCAGATGTCCTCTCTGTTATACCAGCCAGGACAGTCGCTCAATGGGCTCTGTGCCAATGCTACCTTTATCTGGGGGCATAGAACTGCATATGCTCTGGTCCCCAGCTCAGTGATAAGACCTGTGCTGGTGCCTGCCCCTCTAATGTTGTGGCTGAACAATTTTTGAAATCAGCCATGATAAGCCGAGGTTGTTTGGGGGTGAATGAAGGTATTTGGTGAGTGTTATTTAAAATCTTACCATGCCCAGGCACCAGTGGTTTATACCTGCAAACCTAGCTACTTAGGAGCCAGAGATGTGAGGATTATGGTTTTTGGAGCCTCCCAGGGCAGGAATGTCCAATTAACCACTGAGAATAGCTGGAAGTGGAGCTGTGGCTCACATGGTAGCCTTGAGCCTAAAACTTAGGAACAATGCTTAGACCTTGAGTTCAAGTCCTAGAACTTGAAACCAACAGACAAACCTTACCATGGAAGAAGAGAGCCAGTAATGGGGTTTGAACTCAGGCAAGCTCAGCATTCAGCTTGCTGCTAGACTTCTTAACTGTGTTCATGCTGCTGTTATATGGGCAGAGGGCCTGTGTGGCCCACCCTCTGCCCTGGGAAGACTGGGAAGTTACAGGTTGGCTTGCCCTTGTGTCTGAAGAACTCAGCTCTTTTGCTGCCGGGATCTCCTGGCCAGGAAACTGTTGGAAATGAATGCTGTTTTGGGGCTACCTCACACTCCTGAATGTTCATCACTATCTCTTTAAAGCATTTCCCAGGACCTTGTCTACAGGCCACAGAAACTGACTCACTAGCAAAGGCCTACTTGTGTGGAACCAGAGGGAGGGGAAACCAAAGTGCCTTCCCATAGCAGCAGCTCCCCATACCTCGTTCCTCAGCAAGGAGAGGCTCAGCCCTTTAGCATGTTGTGGGAGTAGGACTGTGGGCCTTCTCATCTTCCTTTCCTCCTCTAATGCCTGTAGTGTGCCCACTAGTGTCAGCATGAGGTACATGATATGCCTGAACAGTGTAGCCCTTGTGGGCTTGACAGTGTAGTGGGAAGAGCCAGCAGCACTCACCATCTGTGACAGAGATATAGTGCCATGATGGACACAGAAAGTATCCTGGACAAAGGTGTCTTAGCCAAAGATGGAACTGGGCAAGAAGTAGGCTGTGTCTACATATAATCGTAGTTGCTGGGTCCAGTCACAGTGCAGTTGATGCAGTGTAGTGCCAAGAAGAGATGACAGCCCACCAGGCTGTGTGCGATAGAGTATCATGTGAGTGTGGGATGTTTGTGCCAGTGCTATGGACAAGAGGACAAAGTGGCCACCAGAGGCAGTGGGAAGTGGCGAGGCAGTGGGAAGTGTTTTGGGAGTGGGTACCTTGGTGGGCAGTCATCAGGTTGGAGGCACTACAGACCTAAAATCTGGGAGGCTCCACACTTCCTGTGGGATGAAGTGTGGGCAGTCAGGGCTGGAAGCCTCTGGCAACTTCTTGCAGTCTCAGGATGTCTTGGGTGCCTCAAAATGTAACCATAGGGTCATGTCATAGTGTTCCACTGTAGCACTTGGTGTGTCACTCACGAATGGCCCTTCCTGACGGAGGCTCTGTGGGACTCATGCCCAGTAAACATGAAGAAAATAGTTAGCTGCAGCCTAACAGTGGTGGCTGTGAAGTTGGCAGTGGGTTCATAACCTTAGGAGAAGGAGCAGCTTCAGGGAAGGCAGCTCCATTTGCTCAGCTGCTATATAACCAAATGTCATGGATTAGACAGTTTATGAATAACAGAAAAGGATTGCTCATAGTTCCCAGGGCTGAGACACTGTCAGGCTGGGTGTCTGCATATTGTTCTGGATTATAGGCAGCACAGGGGACTAGGAAGGCCTTGGGCCTCTTTTGTTAGGACACTGGTCCCACCTGAGAGGCCATCCCCAACCTGATTGCCCCTTTCTGATGCTTTTGCCTCAGAAATTGGTATAAGGGGTTTAGGGAGGGAAACAAGCATTTAGGAGACAACACAGTCTGTCTTGAAAACCACCCAAATTATTGTCCCTATATAAAGCATGTTCCTTTTCACTACTACTCAGTAGTAGTAGTGGTCTGTACTGTGGGTTTTTTTTTTTTTGTACTGTGGTTTTTAAACCATCTTTTTTTATGGGTCTGATTGTACAGGTTTGGAAGTCATGCTGGGGGGAGCTTGGAGGGTGGTTTGGATTTCATTTTGTCCTTGTCTCAGGTCTTAATAATGGGTAAGACCACTGATGGTCTTACCCAGGATGAATGGCAGCTCCTTGGTATGACCCTGAGCTCCTGGGTGGGTTAGCCTCACCTGCCAGCAGCCTATACCCCGGTCACATTCTGGCACACTTAAATAAACCATGTGACTCATGGTGTGTTCCTGGGCCAGGGGTGGCCTGTGGCAAAGTCTGTGACCCTCATTCTGTGTTGTGGACTTACTGTGGTTCTGGTGAGTGTTTAGATCCCATCTCAGGTCACCTCTGGTCACAGTGAGCAGTCACCAGGCAGCTGATGTGGCAAGGTCTCTCTAGTCACCTATGGAATCTGAGCTCCATGCTGCCCCAACCAAGATCTCCAGGCTTCTCCAGTTTCTGCTTGGCTTCCTTTTTGGGGAGTTTCTGTCCTTGAAGTCCATTATCTTCAACCCAAGGAAGAAATTTCCATTCTTCTTTCCTCTGCTTAGCAGATTAAAAGATGATAGCTTTCTGGGCCAAATCAGCCTTACCCTCACTCATGCTGTGCTTACAGGCGGTGTCACCCTGAGTTAGGGAGATGGCGGATATTGATTGCCCAACACTGACTGATTATTGAGACTGACTGTCCCTCCAAGGTGTGTTGCAATGGGTCGATACCAATTGCTTGTGCAGTCCCTGGGCCTGAGATGCGAGGATCTGTCCTGCCAGCTGGCATGATGGAACTGTTCATTAGGCTGGGCCAGGAAGAAATGCAGTATGCCTTGTCTCAAGGGCTTGTGCAAGGTGATGTCCACTGGTGCTGTCCACCTCCTGTGGACCCTAACATGGTTTGCTTATGGTTGAGGAGTGCTCACTTCCAAGATCCCACAAGGAGGCTTCCCTTGGGCTTCAGGGTATCTTGACTGTTCCTTTTGTTCTGATCTTGCTAGGGAAGGAGTCCTGCATCTGTTGTACCCTTTGCCTGGAACCTCCCCCCCCCCCCCCCCCCCCAGGAGCTCAATGTCCCTACCTGCCCCCTGTGTGGCTGTGGAACTGGCTTGTGGTGCCCTGCTGATGTTCAGCCGCTGCCTCCCTTCTGAGGGGTATGTTTGTGCGCTTGACATTTAGTATACAGTGCTTGGAATGTGCAATTTTATTTCGAGACCTTTATTAAGCAGCTCCAGTCTAAGGAGTTAATTGTTACTGATAGCTAAGAGTATAATTACCTTGGTAAAATATCATGACTATTTTAAGCAATTGAAAATTGGCTTCAAGAACTGGGTGAACACAAACCATTTTCCTATTTGAAATGCACTATTTCTAGTGTGCCCTAATATTCCACAACATGGTTGAAGAATCTTATTTTTTTTTGAGGAATCTTATTTATATAAGCAGTTAAACTAATGTTTAACAGGAATTTAAAAAAATGAAATATCTCCCCTTCTGTATCTGCCCCTTTCTCCTCCCCCTTGCTGGATCCCAAAGGCAGTGGTCACTGGGGATCCAGGTGTTAGCATTGAGCTTTGTCTTGCTTCCACAGTATCTGTGTGATTGTGGTGCCATTCTGCCCTGTGAACACTCTAGTGTGAAATAATCAAATTCCAGAGCTTCTCATTGGGCAACAACTTGGGAGTGCACGTGCTACTAAGTTACCATGAACAAGTTCTTCTGTATAAGCTGCTTTGGGGATGCTCCTTGCCTGTCTCTCCTGATGCCAGGGGCAGAGCTGCTCACCCTGTAGTGGGAAACCTCCACGTTATCAGGATCTCACACCACTCCTTGAAATTCATCTAGAGCAGAGGAGCCTAGATGCAGGGCCCACCTGCAGTGACCAGAGAGGGATATGGGTAGTCAGTGCTTTGTTTGCAGTGCACTGTACAGCTGGGGAGATCTTGGGGAGGGTGGAGGTGTAGATAGCAGCTGGTCAGCAGCAGTGCTGGTACTGCCTCTGCTATGAAAGAAACAATCAAGTGTGGGTAGAGGCAGGTAAGCTCTCAGAACATTGAGGCACAGGCAGTGGGTCAGCCTCTGGGGAGAGTTTAGGGTGGGCTGATAGCTGTACATTCCCATGGTGGTTTGTCCACCAGGGTCAGCTCTGGAGGTCTAGCCCTCCAGGGCCGGGAGCAGACCCCCCCCCTTCTCTCTTTTTGTTATTGTTGTTGTTGTTTTGGTTGGTCGGGGGCTTGAACTCTGGGCTTGGGCGCTGTCCCTGTGCTCTTCAGCTCAAGGCAAGCGCTCTACCTCTTGAGCTATAGCACCACTTCCAGTTTTTTAGTGGTTTATTGGAGATAAGAGTCTCACGGACTTTCCTGCCCAGGCTGGCTTTGAACCCCGATCCTCAGATCTTAGCCTCCTGAGTAGCTAGGATTATAGGCGTGAGCCATCGGCGCCTGGCTAGACCTCTTGAGGTAGCTACTGCACCCTAGTGCCTTCATAAGCCCTCAGCACCCAGATGTTCTGTGTCTCTTTCATCTGTAATGTGTGGAGGATGTACCACCAGCTCCTGGAGATTCACCCAGGTCTGTGACTATGAGATCCCTCCATGCCTTCTTCCCTTGGCACTTCTCTGGC